TAATTGAGCCGGGAGGAGGAGGAGCAGCAGCAGCGGCTGCTCGGGGACCCGCGGGGGAGGGGGTTAATTTTAAAGGTCTTTCGGAGAAGGGGAAGTGGAATGGCCCCCCGGCCGCTGAGGGTCGCCCACCTGCCCAGACTGGCTCTGCTCCTGGATCTGTAATAAAACTTCAGCGTAGGGTTTTAGGCCCAGGCCCTTGAAGGCAAGGAGCAGGTCCAGAGGTGTTGCTAGTATACTTAAGGTGGCATAATACTTTTTTTTGGGGGGGGGGCTTTATCCTTTTGTAGCAGGGGCTGCCAACGAAACACAAATCTATGGGTCGACATTTTGCATCTCACTTCCTTGTATTTCTGTATCATTTTAAAAAAAAAAAGCAGTTTTCCCTGTTGAATTCATGCCTGTCAGGAAGTGTTCAAGATGCCAACCAGCACTAGATTTCGTGGTAAAGGCTTGGTTGGATTGAACTGAATTGCCAGGGACAGCCGGGAGTCCTAGTTTTCGGGAGAGCAATGCAGAAGTGGGTTGCCATTGCCTTTTTCCAAGAGTTTTTTGACTTCTCCGTCTGGTGTAAAATCCTGGGACATCTGGACGGTTTCCTATCCAATTGCTAACCAGATATGACCCGATATAGCTTTGGGGGGAGCAGCCAGGTTTGTTTAAGTTCTAGTATCTGCTGGGATGCATTTGGGGGTAACTTTTTCTAATAATGTCTTGGTTACAAATATGTGGTGGGGCTCTTAGTTGGGTTCAGTATTTTAAAAATTGCCAAATAGGTTAGAAACAGTTTTTCATAGAGCCGGGTTCATATGACACACTTCTCGTGGTTAACTAAGTACAATTTACTCAACCTAATTTTCTTGATTTGAGTAATAGATTAAACCCTAAACAAGCTGTGCTAAAATGTGGCTAACTGTATCAGTTAAATGTGAACCAGGTCTCAGAGTGTGCCAATCTATCCCAAGATCACCTAGATGAGTGACTTAGGCAGAGAATCTTTCTAGCCCTGTTCGCTGATCCTTTTAGGGGGGAGATACCAGGAGCTGAGCCATTGATCTTCCAATTGCAAAGGGTGTATTTTGCCAGTGAATTCTGCCCATTCCTCCACCTTAATTTCCCCTTTTACTGAAATATCCTATTAAAATAAATAATCCAAAACAGATGTTAGTAAGCTATATTTATATGGTTAAAACTGTGACCCTATTCACAGAAGAGCTGGGTAAAGTAATATCTAGTAAATAGAATGCTTCATCTTTATAGAATGGCTCTGTGATAGAACACCAGTGTGAAAAATTATTTGACTCCAGGCAATGTTTTTCTGCTCTAAGTAATTCTGGCTATTCTAATGAATACTTGGTACACTGTTTCTCTAAGGCTACAATACTGTAAACCTCTCCTTGGGGAAAAACAAACAAACTGGTTCAATTATGCTTGGAGCATAATATTATATTTACATAATCTCTTACTCATAGACTAAATATATAAAGTTGTGTTTTGTTGGTCAGGTCACTGGTTTGTCTTCATCCTATTGCCTTCCAGATGTTTTCAAATTCAGCTACCAAAGACCTGGCTTGTATCACCCAACAAGTGGTACAATGCTTAGGCTTACTGTTGGGACAATCATATTAGTATTAGGGCTATATGGAAGACCACTGGATATGTGTTAAGAACTCCCTACCACAGCTTTGATGTGGCTGCATGGGTGCTGATTCCCCCTGTACAGTAGTACAGTTGCCCTCCCATATCATCTGTGCAACCCCATGGCTTTGATGCTATCCCAAATATTAAATTTTACCACAGGTTTCATGAACTGGAACCCTAACTGTAATTTCCATAAGACTCCAATACCATTACTCACCTCGTTGCTCACTCCAGCATTCAGTTCCAAATCAAATATAAACCTAAGACCATTACTAAGCAGAAAAAGCTCTTGGTGGCATTAACTTTCACGTTATTTTTTTGCCAGAAACCTTGAAGAAGCTTGACCCTCACCATAATCTCATTTAATGCCTATACATACTGTATAATCACCCTAAAGCTCACCCATGTACAACCCAAAACAGAATCATGGGGTTGGAAGGGACAGTTCAATCCCCTGTCCAGGGCAGGAATCCTCCTACCAGCCTAGACAAATGGCTGACCAACCTTTGCTCGAAAATCTTCAGTAATGGAGCCCCATGACTCCAGGAGCCTCTCACAGTCAGAAAATTCCTCCTTATTCCTTATTTGGATCTCCCACTATAAAATTTCCACTCATTGGTTTTCAGATGCTATGAAGAATAAATTCACAAGCTCTTCTCTGTGACAGTCCTTCAAGTATTGGAGAAAAAGATATGGATTTATTCTTTACAATGCCTGAGGGCAGGAAAAGTGTGGAAGCTTTACAGAGGGAAACCCAAACTTGAAATAATGAATAGAAACCTACAAATAATACTAAACATAAAAACTAACCCTAATGCTAAGCTACACTTAGTTTTACCACAGACCTTAATGAAACATAACCCAAACCCTCTCCAACATGCCAAGACAAATATTTAACCTAAGCCCTCACCCCTACCCAGTGCCAGCCACAATGTAGATCTGACACTACAACATATAAAATTCATTGCAGTGTTCTCATACTAATTTTACTTGAAACCTCTGAGATGCCCTAATGTAAAACATACCACTGAATTTACTATAATGCTTGCTCTCAGAGTAATTTTTGCCAGAAACCTCAAATGTTGATGGTAATATTTAATGTGTGGATTAGAATCAAGATCAGATTTTAGGCATGGTGGTGGTTTTGACTATCTTTTAGGATTAAAGTAGGGTCAATTGAAGCTCATTATGAATATATCTATCAGAGGATTGGCAAATTGGCATATACTCACTGTGCTGTTGAATTCCAACCTTAATCTACATCCAAGACTACTACCAAACATTTGACATTCATGCTGAATCCAACCCACAAGGGAAAGTTTTACCATCAGCAGCACAAAACTGTAACCATAGCCCTAAGTTGCCTAAAAGTCCAATACAAATGCTCACCTTAAGAGTCATCTCAAACCTGAATCCCAGCTGTAATCTAACCCAAGATTGCTACAAAACATAACTCACATTGATTCTAAGTCATCGATTCAATATTTCCATTGAATTTGAGGAGCCAGCCTCTAACTTCCCCAAGTTGCTAATATAGTTATAGTGACTATCATGATGCACTCCATATGAATCCAATTATATGCCTAAATCACTTTCTAAACAACAGTCTGCTCTATTTTAACACATTATTTTAAACATAACAAAGTCTGGATGCAAGCAAACTACTTGAAATTAAAAGGACAAGTTAGCCAAGACCAACTTAAGCCTCACTGATTTGAGTATAGTTAAGCCAAGTCCCAAGCCTTTGTTTCCAGGCCTTTGACATATAATTGAGTTTATTCAGTATTACTGGATCAACTGTCTAATTAATGAATTGATGAAACTTAACGGTAGGAACTTTTTCTTTCTACAGTACTTATTTTCTCTTCTTCCATTTATAAATATAGCTGGAATTGTTTAAGATACTGTTTTAATATAAACTTTTTTCTCTCTTGTAAACAGGTTTCAAACCTGTATGATTTGAATAGGTCTTACAGCTTTTCTGAATTTGCAATCATGAACATCAATGATTTTGTGATACTCCCTGGTTCAAAAACTGGAGTTTCTGTAAAACTGAAGGAAAAGTAAGTTTCTTTCCCTAATTGACTTTGAAGTGCTTGAATAATCTATTGCCTTTTTATATGCATCATTAAATGCAAACTATTTCTAACCACTAAAGCTGCAATCCTAAAATCACTTACTTGAAGTTAATTTTATTGAAACAAATGAGAGCTGCCACCATGTAAATGTGTTTAGAATTGGCGCTCTGTTCACATTTACAATGATGCTTTCTGATGTCCTTTTTTTGTTTTTTGTTCCTTTTCTTTTGTTTTTTCTTGTTCTGTATTGGTAGCCTGTTTTTAAATAATTCCTTTATCTACAATGGCACAAACAGAGAGGCCTTTTTTTTTTAAATTAATAAAAAAGTCCTTTTGGCCAGGCTATAAATGTATTGTCTGGTTTCAAAAAACATCAAAATACCAATCTGCCACTCTCTGCAGTATTGCAAATACTTTAAATAGAGGAAGAAAGTACAGTTTGGTGCCAATTTTAGAGTTGAATTTAATCTCTCCAGAAGTGTACGAGAGCTGCAATTGGAAAAGGTTCAGCTGGAACTTGAAAATAAGGAAATGGAGAAGAAGCTGAAGCAACTACAATCAAACATGAGCCGAGAAAAACAAGAAAGAGAGTAGGTAGAACATCATTAATATCAATAGTAGTTATTATTTGGGGGTGGAAGAGGAAACTTTTGTAGGTAACCTAACTATGGAAGAAAAGTAGTATTCTTTCAGTGTTCTTTTGAAATGTGTATTATTTATGTATATAGTTATATAATACAATGACTTCTATGCCATTTCAATCTAACTGACTGTAAATGGCTTACAAAGTCAATAATACAGCCTACATAAATCAATATATATAAAACACATACAAAGAGACTTATACACGCGCAAGTATATCTCATCATCATATCTCTAGCATTCTTTCTCAACATTCAAGACAAACATTTATGTATACTTCACATACTTGATGTAATTTAGATTTATTCTCCCTCTTTGTCAGTACCCATAATAGCTAACGGCAATATGCATTATATATAGATAGAAAAACACTATCATTGTCATATTGAAACATGTAGTATTTTTTTTAATTGAAGTTACGACGGCTCCTCGGAGTTCCAGCCATCACAGTGTCCCCATGGTCACATGATCACAATGTGGTTATTTGGCACCCAGCCTGTGATTATGACATTGCAGCGAGCTGTGGTCACATGCTCATGATTTCCAACATTCCCTGCTGGCTTCCCAGAAGCAAAGTCAGTGGGGAAGCTGGCAGGAAGCCAAAAGTCACTATCATGTGAGGTCCTTGTTTAACGACACAGTCCTCATTTAACAAGGGCAACCGGGGCTGCTGGAATTGCTGTTGCTAAGTGACACAGTCATGTGACATTGTGCTTTACAACTGTGTTAGCAACAGAGTTCCCGGTCCTAATTGCCATCGTAACCTGAGGACTACCTGTACTTATATCTCTGTACTGAGCCCAGCCTTTTTGTGAAATCTTTGACACAACTTTTAATTCCCATGTGTTGTTATAATTGATCACGTAAGTCAAACTGCCCAGAGTTTTGGAAGCTGGACAGTATATACATTCATAAAAAATAAGTGATGTGATAATGGTTTACTCTTATCACATCAACTGACTTCCTTTCCCAGTCCATCTTGCTTCCACTGAATTGAATTTCTAAATTGTAAGCCCGTCAGACAGGGAGTTAGTCTTTTGCACTCCGTAAGTGTCATGGACACAAACAGTTTTTAAGTAATATTTGGTATCATGGCAAGGGGAGGTTCAACCTGGTCCCTTTCATTTGGCCAGAGAAGAAGTGACTATAGGGAAAATATTCACTTCTTCCTGCCAAATAAAATATTCCTACTAATAGTTGCTTTGGGACTAGAGAGCTGTTGGGACCAGAGAGCTTCTTTGATCCACTGTGACAGTTCTAATCCCATCTGTTAGCCAGAGGGACAGGAGTCAAGAGTGATAAACCTCATGCAAGAGCTGCAGGAATGGAATATCAACCTTGTCTTTTTAATACTGTGAAGTTGATGGTGGCCTATCTTTCTTTTTTAATTTGATAGAAGCTACTGAGGGAGACAAATTGTCTGAAGTGGGGTTATAAAGATGCAGGCAATTAATAAATGATTTGCATGGATAGAAATGTCTATAAATGGATAGAAAATTGAAAGAAGACATATTTGCCTTAATAGCAGGAAGTGTTAGACTCTGAATATTTTAAGGCTGGAAGTACAAGGAAACCTCAGGTTATTGGACTCAATATAATGGACTTTGCATGCAATGGGCTACATTTCTGCAGTGATTTATATAATTTGTAGTGACATCATTATACAAATGACACAAAATATGTTGTTTTGCATCAAGTGACAAGAGTGACACAATTTGTATCGCTTTCATGCTGATGTCGCTTTGCAAATAATGACAGATATTGATGCAGAATTATGTAATTTGTATTTGCATAATGTCATGTAATTTGTGTCATTTGTTTAATGACGTTATCATGCCAGTGATATAAATTGATACAAATGATGTGAATCTCTGCAGTTATGTACTTCTGAATTTATTGAATATTTGCGAATAGAGACAACTTTCTTCCCATTAGTCTATTAAACTGAGATTTTGCTGTATTGCAGCAAATTTTGCATTAGATAAAAAATTGAATTTGATGACTTCTGAAGTACCTGCCAATTTTTTAATTAATCATAAACCAGTACAAAGTGATAATGAAACTATTGCTATGTAAAGTGACCAGTTTTATAAGGTGACATTTTCTTCCAGTGAGAATAATAAAAGTTTGTAGTACTATATTTATGAACACACTCTTTCAGAGTACCGTATTTTTACGACTATAAGACGCCCCCATGTACAAGATGCCCCCCATTTTTCCAACCCAAAATTAAGAAA